AAGACCAAGTCTATTTTACATATAGATCTACTGGAGTAAGCTTCTTTTTCTTACATTTTTATTTGTGAATTTGTTAATATTTGTATCAGTTTATTAATTTGTATCAGCTTATTGTTTCCAACATCCACCCGATGTTGAATGCGAATTGAAATAAAATCATAAACGCAATGCGATGGAAACGATGGCTGAATCTCGAATCGAATTTAGTATTATTTGTATTATTGTGAAGAATGAGAAAAAATATATATTGCGTTAAATAAATCACGATGTAGGCCTGCCTTTCAGTTTATGGCATTTTTGAACCCAAGAAAAGGAACTAATGATTCTTGGTTCGCCATCACAATTTACTTTGTCTTTGCAAGCATCCTGTTTTCTGAATGCATTTATATCTTTAAAGAGGTTAATTAGGATTTCATGTTTTGGCTCGGAATGATCTCGCTCACTCTTAATATATGGAGCATCAGTTTAACTTTATATAGGATTGAAATACAAGGTTTTTATAAGTCATTGTTTAAAATGTTTGGAAACGAATGAACTGACCTAAAAAGAAAAGTCAAATAACAAGTTGAATTCAAAACTTCTATTGCTGTTTACTAAGATTTACACAGAACAGCTGTACTAGGAAAGATAATTATTTGTATCTACTCGATAAAATTGTCAAATATAAAAATAGATCACTTAAAACTGATAAAAAGATTATGACATTTAAAAGTACCTTAACGTATTTTATCTAGTTAATACTACTTCTCTATTGCAAAAATAATTAAAAAAATACTGTTATTAAAAATTGCATACATAACATACAAAATATTTCACATATAAAGTACGGTAATGAAACTATCAATCGTGCAGAGATACATATTAAAGGATGTTTCATCTCAACTGACGGCTCACGAGAGCATGTTATCCGACAAAACCTAAAATAAATATTATTATTTAATTTGTTTCTCATTTTCTATTTAGCTATTAATTAATAAGTTATTTTACATCTAGACTTGACTCAAACCAGTAACACATTTTTTTTTGCATAAAGAATACTATTTAATTCAGTTTTTCATATACTTAAAAATACTAACTGGACGTCAGCGGTTTCTGACGGATATTTGTACCTTCTACACTGTCATATCCGGAAAAATAATCGCAGTTAGGAACATTTGTGTGCAGAAGAGGAGATTTATGGAATAGTTTATTACAATTATATGCTAACAATAAAGGTGTAGGCCTATCCTACAACACTTGCTCTACATAAACCATTAGCTAAGAATGACAACGCTGCATTACCATTGATCCCTTGTGAAATATTTAACATAATTTTTGTGGCAACTACCTAGTTTTCGCCACCTCTGTGGGTAGTTAGAGCACATTGACACGTTATGTATCAGGATATAATTAACCACACATGTATCAAATGTGTAAAATAAAATCTCCAAGTTCTAGTAAATGGAGGTGACGTCATGGTGTGTACTTTTATTTACGTCTAAAATAAACTACTGTTTTTGAAAATGAAATTCTTAATGATTACAGAACTTTCTAATTGACTCTCCCTGGACTAACAGTCAATTGAGTTAAAAATAAAATAAGGGGAATGGTATTATGACTGCCATTCTTACCAGAAAAGATATGTTCAGCAGAAGAATTTTGAAGTTTTTGCAGTGCCTATTCAATTGGCAATTGATTATCCATAAGAGATCGAAGAAAATCGTGACACTGTATGTGTAATGGTGGCCTGTAAGAGAGGATAAAAAATGTCTTGTAGGCTGTCACTCTTTCATTCAGCCAATGGCAAAAGCATATTGGAAACGAACTGTAGTTCATCAAGATAGTTTTCTTTTCCATGACTGGGCTTTTCAACATTGGTTGGACAACCGTTTGTTTGAAGATTTCTGGAACTACTCCAGATAAGATAAAAACGAGTTTGAGTTTAATAAGTATGGGGGAACTGATGATATGCTTTTTAGGTGTTCAGCAAACAAACTGGGAATGGGTCAAGGCAGCATGGTTTTGATGAACTTTGGCCGACCAGTGAGATACCCTTTTCAATTACTATCGTAAATTTGACACAAAGTAGTAAAAGTCTCGGTTGCGTCAAATACATTGGAAATATCAACTACCTTCTGGCTAAAAAAAGGTCAGGAATAGTTTTACCAGTACCTCTTGGCAGTGGGCATCCATGGTCAGGATTTATTTTTGTTAACAGTCAATGAAAAGAAATCCGCTTTACTGAGGCAGTAATACTTCATCAAGTATCTGAAATTATACAAGTTGATAATAATTGTTAATGTCGTGATGGAATAGACAATAAGTGGATTTGCGTCAGGAGAAACATATTGGTGTAATTTTGCCCTACCTGATGTGGAAATGTACTGAATAGGTTTGAAAACAATTGCGAAAAAATCGCAAGTTGTTCTCGGGTGGGACTCGAACCCACGATCTCATTATACAAGTTGTCACTTCGTAATAAAACATAGGTGTACTTCAGGTACAATTTATAGATTAAACGAGACTTAACCTGTAAGTTGAAGTTTGAGAATAATAAATAAATGTTAGTAACTGAAGGAATGGCATGAAAACCTAGAAATTTAAGTGATTGACATGGTGTAAATATTGATTTTTTCACGTTCACTTTTCCCTATTAAAACCTAAACTAATAAGTGTGGCTGTCTCATTTATGTTCAATAGGCACTCCTGTGCACTATCTCCCTGTAAATAAAAATCATCAATATAACCCAAAATGGTATGAAGCACAACCTGCGGTTCTGGCGAGTCACCCGTTCTTCATGTCAAACCGGAAATATGTTTATGAGATAGAATTGCCTCTAAGCTCGTATAGTAAAAACGTTGTGTCTCATCGAATTGTACCATCAATATTATTTTAATGCCACAATCTTTTAATAAATCCGATACACCTGAAAACAAATTAGAAAACATCGAATGTCATTATGAATTTACCAAAGATTTTTTTTTTCACAATTTTGAATTTTTTATAAATTCCAAATTGTCGCAGTGACATTTTATGTAATTGAGTATTAAATTTATGATAAATTCCTGACACAAGCAATTTGTATTGTTATATCTTTTTATCTTATGTTAGTTTATCGATTCCTTGTATTTTGATGGGTTAAAATAATTTTATTGTATTTTCGATAATAATAATAATATATTTTTATACATTTGACTTTTTGTTGTATTTTCCAATATGATGATGATGGTAATTATTATTTCTTCACTATTTTTGTGACTGTGTTAGTGAAGTAAACTACAAATCTTACAGTGTAAAATGTACAGAAATATTCGAAGGTTAAAACCTGGTATTAATGCCAATAAATAGTAATAATACATATTAAAATGATAATCCAATATCAATAGTGTTAAGCGCGTAAGTATCAAAGTGACAATAACGAAGTCAGGCTTTGGTGACACCGCAATATCCGGCAACTATAATTTTAAATGTTGTATTCCATGAAACTTAAACCTTTAGAATATACAAGCATATCAGTTTAAACTTCCCCGGGGTGGAACAGAATCGAACCATTCCATTAAGTGAAAGGGGCCTAGAGGCGGTAGGCTTTCAAGTGCTTTCAAAGTGGTCGTACGAAAAGGGCAATGTTTGTACTGAGTTAGTGTAATGACTATATTTGTAATCGTAGTCTGAGTAGACAGCAAGTTGACCATAAAAAATTATTGACTGAATGGTAATCAAGCTTGTAAAGGTACATTCGAAATTAGGGATTTCAATTTATACTGAGAAAACTCGTATGATGACTGATAATCAATAATAGGTCTGTTGCATGTTTAGTTTTCTTCCAGTTTATGAAGTTGCTTATTATACTTAGAGCGAACCCACATTGACAGCATTGTTTGAAGTCAATTTTCAGCCGGCTTACACCGTCGCCGTGTACAGTATTATCACATAAGATAAAGCTGTTCTTATTTGTTTATTAAATTAGGAGGATAACGTATAGTTTTACACATCTCGAAATTATTTAAGCTGTTTCTTAATGTAAATGTTCGAGATTTTAAGCATTCTATTATATAATTACCATCAGTGATTAAATTTTATAATAATTTATTACGTATTTCTGAAGACAAAAGTAATAGGGATGCGCTCCTAGTCTAGTCAGGACAGACCGATGAACTACAGTACTATTCATTATAACACCTTGAATAATATTCCTGATGTACTTCTACGGATCAATTTTGATGAGATATAGACATGTAGGCCTATTTCTAATAATTTGGCAATTCGACATGATCATGTCGTGATAACAAACGCTCTGCATCCTCTGATTGGCTAATATGTGGCGCGTGGCACCATTAGACCCACTCGTATGCCATATTAGTTTCACGTTAAATAACGTGAACTGGTTTTGAATGACGATTTTTGTGCAGTATACTTTGCATCATCAACGATCGGTTTCCTAATCAATAAATTATGAAAATTGGTGGTCCAGTTACACAAGTCGTAAGAGGCTCAATACCTGATTGGTTGCAATCAATATCGGTGGTCCGTTCACACAAGTCGTAAGAGGCTCCGCAGCTGATTGGTTGCACTATTGTATTTCAGTTGACGTTATAACATGGTATACCTCCATGATCAGTGACAATATAATAATAATAATAATAATAAAATTAATAATAATGATAATAATAATGATAATAATAAGGAGGATAATGATAATGATGATGATAATGTTAATGATGATGATGATAATAATAATAATAATAATAATAATAATAATATTCCTCATAATAATAGTAATAATAATATTATAATATTCATAATAACTATAACAGTGTTGATAATCATCGCTTATGTCTGTTTTAATTGTTGTTGTTGTTGTTGTTGTTAATAAATGACGTTGGTATACTTTACTATAGACTACGTTACTATATTGGTCTCATAAGTATATGCCATGTATTTAGAAGATTAATTACACAAGTATGAAATAAAAGTTGCACCAAGTATGAAATAACAGATATATATATATATTTATTGCTGTTCAAAAGACTATTGTAGACCTAATGTAGAACGGATATGCTTTAACGAATATACCTATTGTACAATATCGTTTTGTTTGGAAGACGTTGATTTTGCCATTATTAGTACAGTTTATTAGTCATAAATAACAATAATAAGAGGGGAAATCTATTTACATCGAGATCCAAGCTAAAACTTGCTAGATTCTGGCCATAAGAACGAAATCAGTTACTGCCCGAAATAACAATTCATTACTGAACAGCTGTCCCTCCCCCACCCATTGAAAATTTACGAAGCGAAAAATCATGCTCAAGTAGTTAAAATCACCTTATTTTTGCGAAGTAGCACCGTCGCTTAATTATCCACCCCTTACTTGACCTCCCCTCCCCAATCATACCCCTCCCCATTTTAAGACTCCTAGATACGTCATTGAAACACCTTTGCGATAATAATCTAGGCGGCGGCCTACCGTCTTTTTAGGAAATAGTACACTGGTACTACAATAGGACCTCCATTCCCCCAAAAAAGCCAAAATGAGAAAAAAAAATGTTTCTTTTTATTTTACATAATCCTATCAAATCTATATAATATCTACAGTATATACATTTCCAATGGTTGTGATAAGGAAACCTTGAACCTGTGCAAACTAGCAGAACACAACAAGGATGACGACATTAATGTTTTGAGTTCTGACGTAAACACTATTGTATTCTCCACCAACGTTTTATTTTTACTGACGCTCTTCCGGATCTTCTAAATTCCAAACAGATAATAATGTATGTAAACTCAATAAAACTGAACATCAATATAATTAGTAATCAAAATTTCCGGCAGGATTTATTTTGCTCACATTGGCTAATCGTCTCTCTACTTAACTGAGCAAAATGCTGATTCTCTAGAGGGCGTAAGCACAAATGGTTTGCTAATCAAATGGTCAATCTCTTTGCTCTGCTCATGAAATGGAATGGTAGATGGAGACGAAATGTTTATGACTGCTGGTACTGAAGAAAGAAAATGCGATTGTTGTTTAATTGGACTCGATTTCTGATGACGTCGCCACTTTGCTCGTCTGTTCGAAAACCATACCTAAACACAATTTAATAAAAATAGAATGACAGTTAAAACTATTGTTTCAATCTGGAAATATATATTGCGAAAGTGTAAGAGTAAGAGGTAATTAAAATTTGAATATCGATTTGTTTTGCAGCTTCTCTTTTTAACTCATCAATTTAAGAAACGTATTTCTAATGGGGTCCATATACAAATAAATAAATAAAATAGTAAATAAATAAATTGGCAGTTTATAATAAAATTTCACAAAAACATCAGACACAACATCAACAATATAAACATAATTTAATTTAAACTAGGCCTAATAAGCTATAATATGGACAGGTGTTCTTTAATTTTCGTTTTAAATACTACATTATTATTATTAATAGACTTAATATTATTTGGCAATGAGTTCCATGATTTAATACCTGTGTAGTGGAATGTACAATGACCAATTCCCTTGATAACAGGAACATGAAAATTAAATATATCACTCCTGTGAAGTGATTATGTAAATTTGACAATCTTTCAAATTTTGAGCACATATATATGGAATAGATTTCTCGTAGAAAATGTTGTGAACATGAGCAAGCTTAAGCTGCTTGACCCTATCCTCAACAGGAAGGTATCTAACACTATGAAGTTCCCTATTATCAATATGGGAACGAGGCCCAAGCCACAAATAAATCGAACTATTTTGTTCTGGGTAAACCTTAGCTTATTTTTAAGGTTGCATTTTAGTCATGAAAACCACGATGTACTGCCATAGTAAAAGTGACATTGTATTAAGGCATTAGTTAAAATTCTTCTGGTATGGAAGTCAAAGCATTTAGCTTTTCGATACAGGAACTTAATTCGACTATTTATCTATTAATTACAGACTGAGCCATTGATTTACCACTCATATCACAATCAAGTATACATCCAAGATATTTAACGTGCGTTTTATGGATATTTTCTTACTATGAAAAAAACACTTTTAATAACCCACTATTTCTTTTAAGTTTTCTATAAGAGCCAAAGATGATAGCCTCTGTTTTTTTCTTGATGGTTGATTATCTATAAACCATTGGTTGCAAGCTTTTAAGATTAAAGTAAGAGTACTAGCAATTTTCTTAGGATCATTAACCATTTGCAATAAGAGCAACGTGTCATCAGCATACATTATAAGTTTACAGTCTACACTAGTAGATAGATCATTTATATAGCAAAGGGACAGAGACGCTCCACGGACACTTCTTTGAAGAACAACACCACATTCAAGATTTTAGAGATTCAGACTTAACTCCATCAACAACTACAATTTGTGTCCTATTACGAAGGTAGGATCAAAAATATTCTACTGAGGCAGGTGAAACCCCTATCCCTTTAAATTTACTGTAGAGTACAAGATGGTTAACCAAATCGAAAGCCTTCTTAATGTCAATTAACACCATGCCAGTGAAATTACCTTCACTAAACTCACTACGAATAATATCAATCAAGAAGATAAGGGAAGTCTCCGTTGAAAAATAACCGCTGAATCCAGATCGGTAATCATCCGGGTGTCCTTGGTTATTAAGGTATATTAAACTGTGAATTAACGACTGATTCCAAATTTGTTGAGACACAAGGTAAAATACTAATCGGTTTGGTAGTTCCCAACATCATTTATCCGGTTATTCTTAGATAAAGGTTTCAATTTTGCCAATTTGAGTTCATAGGGAAATGTTTAAGTGGTAATAGACAGATTAATTATGTGTGTAATTGGGACCCTAAGGTAGGAAGACCCATCCTTTAAAAATTTAGCTGTGATGTAGTCAAGTCCTGTCCTCTTACTGATTGCTACACAGTTAATAATAAATGCACTAGAATATTTGGCTCTGCCCGAGAGCCGATTTAACTGTAGACTTCAGTGGGTCGAATTATTCCTGTTGGGCGAAATTCGAGTGTGTAGTGTGTGTGTGTGTGGAGTTAAACACTGAATTTATATCATGAGGGTTTAATCTCACCTGAACTCGTGCTTCCGACAGTTGTGTTTTGCTGGCAACATCTTCACGGGTGTTGACGCAAGGGTAGTGAGACTTGTTAAATTCCTTCTCAAGGATTTCAAGTTGTGCATTGGTGAAAGTAGTTCGGCTTCTTCTTAGCTTACGCTTAGAGCTGTCTTCGGCAACTAAAGGTTCGGTAGCATCCAATCCGTCACGGAGATAGACTCTTTGTATGTGATCATCGTCATGAGAACCTTCAAAAATAATTACTGTTGTAATTCATTTTTATAACTTCAACCATATTGTTTACTTTAAACTTGATCTATATTTATATGTTATTATATAAGTAAAATAATAATTAAAAATATAATAGTAGGCAGATACCCAGCAAACACAAAACTTGTTAACATTCGTGAACCGATGCTGAAATTCAAATAAATATGTTTAGATCAAGACTTGATGATCTTTTTTGGAGTTACAAATTGGATTTGCGTTCTACAGATTAGGGACGAAGAACTTATACTTATTGACGTTATTTACACGACCCGCCCATAGACTTCAGGCGACTATTCATTTACGACAGGTAGACAATTGTAGAGACATTTAAAAGACTAATTGTAGCCCATTATACGGCCTTGTAAGAACAATATTCTGTTAATAAAATCATGGATATTCTTGAATTTGTTCAATGATATTTGGAGTGTGTAGTCAGCATCTTACGTAAGGTGGTCACGTTCATCAAACTTATTTGGATTGCTGTATGATACCAACCTGGTGCTGGGAAAACACGTCCGCTATTGTAAGGATGACGATGGTGGCACATCGTTGAGGGGCAAATTGTTGCTCTTGGCCTATGGATTACCACTTGGTTATGTGGCTCCGTCATCTTCCCGTTGAATAATGTTGGACTGCTGACAAAATTACATGGAATCCGCGGCACAGTGATGTTAGGTAGGAAGGAATATGTGGAAAGTAGAGCTTGTTCAGTAACCCTAGCGTATTCTGCGGCGGCACGCTCAGCGGCTCGGTTGCGAAGGATTCGATTTATAGAGCTTACACTGGGGGTTGTGGATGCTGTGCAAATGCCTAAATTGAACAAAAAAAAATCAAATATAATAAATATATGCAATCCTAATGATGATGATGATGATAATGATGATTTCGCATCCAAACAGCAATTAACTCGCCAATTACAGGATGGACGGTGCTTTATAAAACAATTTATTTATTTATTTATTTATTTATTTATTTATTTATTTGTTTATTTATTTATTTATTTATTTGTTTATTTGTTTATTGCGGTATAAAAAGCAGACTCACATCATTCCCAGAGGGCAAACCTGTGATCTTGCAATCAAAATACAATTAACAAGAAACATATAGAAACACAAATAACAAGCCATTAAAATAAGAATATCGACATTAACAAGTTAGCAATATAATTATGTCATATACATAATCATAAATCCACAAAGCATAATATATAAGAAAAGAGTCCAGCCAATAAATTACTGCAATTAAAACAAATATAGGCCTATGAATGTCAAAATAACGAGAATCAAATTGTGACATATAGGCCAATGTAAATCACCTAGAAAGGCCTACATTATAACAGTGATTATTTAATGATCAGCTATTATACAATCGTTACTTGATTAGTCGTAAGAAAAAGTCCTGCTGTCACAGGAATAGACCTTTCCGGAGTGTCAATCAAACTTATCAACTGACTAATCAGAACAGCGCTAGGGATACGCGTGCGTCTCACAAACACACGTGTTGTCCCACAAACGCACGTGTTCGCATATGTTTTAACATTGTCGTCTTGTGGGACCTTAGCAACAGTATCCAAGGGGCGGGGCTTAGCGGAAAGGTCCATTGAACTAGGACCCTTGGAAAAGAAGGCAAGGAAGGCATCTTAACCACTAAGCTAACTCCACTCCATGATGATAATGATGAGGATGATGACAATGATGATGAAGAAGATGATGATGCTGATGATGTGGTTGCTGTTATTTTTTAACCTTAAGATATATATGACAAACATGTTTCATAATATGAAAAACAGGTTTAAAGTTCCACCAAATATGGTTATTGTTTGTATAAATGTTCTAAGTAAAATTAATCTTTACCGTCACTCATTAGTTTATCACGAATTTCCCATGCAAAGATGGACGGGTTTCCCTGTTTGTATTCTTCAATTTTATCGACAACCTCTGGAGTTGCAACTTTCGGCTTGCTTCCACCGATTGTTCCATTTCTGACGCCGTTGTTATCAAGGAAGCGATCTGCGACAATGAACATTACAAATAATGAATAGGCCATAAGAAAGAAGAAAAATAATACTTAAAACTCGACCGTTATTATAGACCTACTCAGTTTGATATTCGGCATATATAATTTGGGGCATGAGGATGGGGTGCCATGGTTTCAATGATCCTTCTCAAGAAGGCAAAGAGCATTGTAGTCGATGATTTGTATTAATTTCAATTGATTTTTTACAATTAATTTCTAAGTTGTATTACTTTGTTCTATTTAAATTATTTCATGTTTCAAAGTAAGTATTTGCAATTTTAACATCTAGAGATGGAAAGGGTGTGTTAGTGTTTTTGTTTTGTTTTTTTGCATTTAAGTTGTATTTTTTTGTTTTGTATGTTTATAGATTTATGAATGTGTACAAAATACAGAATGTGAAATTATTGTGAATTAGTTAAAGTGTATGGGAGATGAAAACATGACTTTAAAATACAAATAATGTATCATAAATCTCATGAGGAGATGAACAGAATTCAGTTGTGTATAAAACAAATCTAGTAAGCAAATTCGTAGTTTGAACTGCGATGCAAGTTTGCAAGGTCAGTCGACATAAACATAATAAATAGAGAGCTTTCGATTGCACGATGACGGTAGGACGTAGAACGTAATGACGTCCTTAAGGTCATCTGCGCATGTGAGAACTTTAAGGTCACCTCGTCGAGTAGATTCTGGAACGCAATTTGTCGAAATCCACGTACATAGAGAACGTAGGACGCCAGGTAGCACGGTTACGCATGAGTGATTCCTTTCTAGCGTCGCGTAGTCACAAATCGAAAGCTCCTTAATGTTGTGTGTATGTTTGAAAATGTCGATTGACCTGTATATGGGTATGTGCAGTTCATTCCCTCACCAAAAAGTTTGCTGATGCAGCCATGTGACACTAGCAACTGACGAGATAGCTCATTGTAACGACTAGCCACCAACTTCTGACGCGTTACATCGGCATACGTACCACTGCCCACGTGCACTGGAGAAATTGCTGCGAAACCTTTCAGATAAAATCAAACGCAATCTAAATATAGTCTCCTAAATTAATAGCACTTTATCTAAATTACAGGCACATACTAAGACATTTACTTTAAATAACATCACTGCATTAACGTTTTACGCAACGGCTGTACAAATTGTTGTGTCTTCGGGCAAGGCACTTTACCAACGTTTTGTCTCTCAACTTAACCTTTTCATGGGTATGCAATGGTATATATAGAATATTAATGGCAGGAAATGATAAGATAATATTTTTTCAACAAAGTGAAATGGAAATCGCCTTTCAATTGGCATGAAACATGATATATACGAAATCTAAACCATTTAATAACAGAACAAAAAAAATTACGAATAGTGAACCCGTAACTTGAAATAGGGGCCTATGTTCCAATATTTAGTGGTTACTTTCCGCTGGAGTACCGTAATTGATTTTAGCTTACAATGTTAAAGAATATTAATCATCAACCAGCTCGGAACCAATGCAGAGGCACTGTTATTTAAGTGTGTACAGGCATGAATACAGCATATTTACATTAAAGCTTAAATTAAGTAGTGAACTAGTTTGAATAAAATGACATTTAATTTATTAAAAATAAAATTCATTATATATTCGAATAGTTGAATCTGGTTTTCTTATAGCTGTAGAACAACATCGACGAAAGCTCGCATAAGTTTACATCCATTGTTCTAGATTTATTATCGATAAAACAGTTCCGCATGTAAAATTTATTATTTAGGAAAACTGTAAAACTAACGGAAATTGATTAAAGTTACACCATAAAGTTATACAAAAGAATTTGTATAATACAGATAAAAATTATATATAACTAATAAATGCTGTTGTACTAATCGTTTGGAGCAACAAAATTAGTTTTTGTTGAAAGTTTAAGTAGTATACCACCTTACCTGTTGAATCCATAAGTGTGCGTAGATGTTTAACAAGCACCTAGATTAACTTGAACTACAAGTGTTTGAAGTTCCACTCATCATTTCATATATTTATAGCATTTCCGAACAATATAGCGGAGAGAGCCTATTGTTCGCCTTACAAACATCTCCAATTTCATTAATTACCTCATTTTATCTGACAGATAGCTGGTCAATTGCTGAGAAGAGGTAAAAAAATCGATCACTGTAAACGTGTAATTGTCTGCGCGATGGACTGTGTAATTGTAGAATCGTATACAGTGGACGTTCAGAACGATCATCTAATAATGATACGGTAATAATTATTGATACAATGAGCGAGTAGTAGTAATCTTTTAAGTGTAAACACTTCTTCCACACACGTGAACTAACATTCGCCACGATCTAATGAGCCAATCTCACACTTTTGTGTATTCTTATATAGGCCTAATATATGATTTATATGAAATCATTTAAACATATATTTTTGAATTTTTACAGACGACAGAATACTCCACACAACAAACTTTCTTACTCTGCTATAACTACGTATACGTGGTCGGGAGAGGGTTAAATTGAAGAAATCAATATGAAATTAATTAATGGTATTACATTAATTAAAAACCCGTTGGAGAATGCCAATATTAATGCGAGAAACATAATATGTATCCAATCGCAGTGATACCACAATTTTGGATAGAAAGATAATATGAAATCGTGCTTGTCGAACAAGTAAAATGATTGATTCAAACCTCATTGAAGAATGATAAAATCTGAATACGAACCAGAAATTTGCCTGCAGGTAGTCCAGCATGTTCAACAGTGGACCCGGGATTGAATCAAGGAGTCGGCTAAAGCCTCGGTCAGGGTCACATAATAAAATTTCCTGGTAGATAATAGGAACAGTTTTTATAGATTGTATGGACCGAAATTGTGTTTTAGACCACATTTATTGGCAAGCAAAATAAGCAAATTAATATTTTTGATCCGACGACCTCGTCGTAGGGTCGGACGGCAGGCGTGAAATTGCAATGTTTCCTTTGATGAACCTCTTTCAGCATTAACACACCTGAGTAGAGTTACAGTACTATACATCACCTTAATCAATCAATGGCAGTGATACAAAATAGTATTATCTCATTTAGCAATTTATGTTTTGGAATGCACGAAACTAAATTAACAAACAATTAAACTGAACTTTAAACGATTAGGAAGTATATGGTTTCGATGGAATGTAAAATATTGATGGCTGTTATGACACTACTTGCTCTTGATTAAGGGAGTAAAGAGCAGCGAAGCCGTAGGCAAGTTTACTATTGGATTAGTTAGCGCTAGCGCTAAGCCTTAACAAAATATTATTATGATCGCGAAACAAAACTTCTGTAATATGATCAGGAACTTTCAAAGGCGCTGAACAACAAGCGCTTTAGTTTTGTTGCAGCAGCAAAACAGTGCAACAAAAGTGTATCGCAATTTGATACTCGACATACTGTCTTCATCTCTACCACCACAAAAGACTTAACATCTCATGTGGAGCAGCGTCGCGCATTTTACGAAAGGAATCGAACGATTTGGTTAGCAACTATACTGTCAGTCTCAGTCCCCCAATTCTGTCGTTGAATAATTTATGAGATCAAGGCTGGGAAAGATGCTGTACGGTTTTCTCAACATTTTACTTGCAATAAGAAAACATCTTCGGCAGACACATAGCTATTGACATTGTTGACTTGCATATCAAATGATAGAACAAGATGACATCGATATTGTATGATTAAGGTGATTATTACTTGGTTTTATTCAATTAAATTCAATTCAAAGTTTATTGTCTTCATAAAAATAAAGACATTTGTCGTTGATACACACTAGATACATATTAACACAGAACATAAAAACAAAACAAGCGTCAAAATAATTAATTAATTAGTATATACACCAAACTGTTGGTAACCCAGGCAGCGTCTGGGGTCTATGAGGTACTGCCTCATAGACTCCCACCCCCTTCTAATGGGAGTTAATGCTCAATCATGTACAAATAAACCTAGGTCAATGTTCATTAAAATAATTGCAAGGTAAAAGTCATACAAAAGACACAGCACAGAACATTTAGAAAACTTAACACTAAACAATAATATTAAAAGGTAAATAACAATTTTAACACTAAAACTTCAAAATGTACAAAATACTAACTAATAGAATAATTATATTCTCTCAATACTAATACGTCTAGAGTGCTGTTAGTCTAGGTTCATGTGGGTTTTTTTTCTTGTCCGTTTCCTTCCGTTGTTGTCCAACGGGAGGCGCTATACAAATTGCAATTATTATTATTATTATTATTATTATTATTATTATTATTATTATTATTAATTCATTAAGGTGTATGAGATACGGTACCGACAACAATGTATAATACCATTTTTGCATTGTTTTTTAGTTTAGACAAAATAAAAAATACTTGAGGTGCTATCAACAAAAAAAAGTATCAGTAATCCAGGAATCCCCATTGAATTGGAAGCTACCTTCAGTAGCATGCCTAGCCCCACTCGGACTGCATAGGCTACAAACGCATGCACACCAATAAAGCATGATCCTATCTAAATTTGTACTTTTCTACATCATGAAGAAAGTAACTCGAAACAAAGAAAATTTTAAATTCAATTCAGATAACATAAAAATGGTAAAGTTATATGCTCAAATCTTGCGTTTGGCTCTCGTGTAATAAATCAATAAATTCTACATCATGAAGAAAGTAACTCAAAACAAAGAAAATTTTAAATTCAATTCAGATAACATAAAAATGGTAAAGTTATATGCTCACATCTTGCGTTTGGCTCTCATGTAATAAATAAATAAATAAATAAGTTTTTAACCGCTGTTACTAGACACTACCTTTAATATGTGTTACGGGTGTTCTATTCATTTATTTACTAAGTGGTTAGTTTTTTCGGACGAAAGCACTGATATGGTGTTCTTAATTTTGAAATAATTAAGCTTCAAACATCACGATTCTCATCAACAATCAACATACAACAAATTGATGTTAAATGTTCAAAGTATTTGCGTTTCGGTGTGTACCCGTGGGAGGAAAACATCACAAATAACAGGTATGCAGATTTTCAAAATCTTTAGTCTACAAGAAAATATATTTTGATAGCCTTTTAGTATTCTTAAACAGCGTGAGGGTACTCAGACGTAATTCTATAGTGTGGTTTACAATTTAACTGTTCATCAATTCATTAATAGAAATTAACTATCTGAAGCTGAATACAAAGAAATTAGTCCAGATTACAATGATTTTGATAATATTCCACCTCTATGACCTATTACTGACACAACCGGTACCTGTTACTACTTAGTAGCTAAGTTTTTATCTAACTTATTAGGGTTTCTGACTGTTAATGATTTTGTCCTTAAAGATTCGTTTGATGCTGCGGACCGTATTATAATAGACCATTTACATTTAGGTTACCGTTTTGTAATATTTGATTTTGAATATACGTTTGCAAATGTTTTCCTTACTAAGGTAATTAATATAATTCTTATGGTTTACAATTAAAAAAAAAAGATTTTTACTAGTCTTAAGAAAATTCGTATTTACGTGTAATAATGAATTTTATAAACAAGCTGATGGTTTTAATGGGCTCATATCTTGATCCAGTTTTAGTTAATAGTTTAATGAATGTACTAGAAGAGTCTATTGTTCCCAAACTTATAGAATCAGGTATTATTAAGTTTTGTTGACGCATTAATACTAGCTAAGCCTAATGATTTCCATCACATTTTCCCGTCACCTTAACGCTTTTCATAGACAGATACATTTTAGTTTTGAATCATTTGAAAACACTGACATAGTACATTTTCTGAATTTATAATTTTACAACAATGTAGGAAGCAAGAGTATAATATATCAAAAAAAAATACACATACAGGTCGATATGTCCATTATGATAGCTTTGCTCCATGGAACCACAAGATCTCTTGCATTCGTAGTTTAGTTTCTATGAACCCACAGACTGTATAATCCTGATAAACTTGGCAGAACTTTGCAACCTTAGAAAGTTGATGTCTTGGAATGGGTACCGTACCGTAAAGACGTTAAACACGTACTTAAGAAATTAAGTGAACCTAATTTTATACGTAGGCCTACTGACGATAGCTTGATTAGATTGCCTTATCTAGGAAAATCAGGTGAATCCATTTTAAATGTTTTAAAAAAATAAAGAAACATTTAGTTAAAGAAGTAAAATTCATAACTTTATGGCAGTATAAAAATGTAGCCTGGGTGCAGTAGGAAATTAGCGGGAAAAAAGTAAAGGAAAATTTATTTTTGGTTTTTCTGAATTAGTGTATCTTATAGTGTCTCAGGAAAAAAAATACCCATTCTTAGAGCTAGGGCAATTTTTTTTATAGCACTTTAAGATTTGGACATAAAATATCCTATTTTGGACTAATTAAGATAGGGGTAGGGGAAATAAATATATGTTTTTAGTCACTTTTACATATGGCATGTATATCAAATGCAACAAGAACTTGGCTAAATATTTACTCGTCACTCTCGTTAAAAAATTGAATCGGAATGATAACATCATCACAATTATTCCAAGATGGCGGCAATTTTGGCGGTAAAAACTTGTTTAAATGTAAAATTAACTTTATTGTTATCAGAGTACAGATGCAATTTCAAAACAATGTTATACATACAACAATATATAACAATATATATATATATATATATATATAAATTATATATATAAATTACGGTGTATTTTTATATATTATTATTTTAATAGTAGTATTATGCTATTTATTATTATTATTGTAATCATTATTAATATTATTATTATTATATTACTTATATTATTATATTATTATTGTATTGTACTCTTACAATACAATATTTATTTATAAAATGAATTACATTGTTAGTACTGTTATATAATAATATTACAGTAGAACCCCTCCTTAGGGATACCCCTATTCAGTGGACACCCCTATTAAGGGGACACTTTCCCGTGAAACGAGGGGAAATACATCTTTTAACACTACAGTCAACCCCTATTAAGGGGACACCCTTATTTAGGGGACGGGTACACTTTTTGAGTGTGTCAAATGGTCAAATAACCCCTATTAAGGAGACATTTATTTTTTGTTCA